CCTTTCATTTCATTGTGATGTTTTATCACACGTCTAGATTCAGTTCGACGTCAAATATTATCCTTGAATTTGATTGATAAGATGTTATTGCTAGTTTTAATTGTTCGAGTTCTGATTACTCTTATTTCTTCCTGTTCAATTATTGATGATTGTAAAAGTCTACGTACCCAGTGTGGGAGATATTTTTGTTTTTGTTATATTTATTCAACCTTGCTAATAAGACTGCGGATTTGTTAGCGCTAGCATTTCATTCTTCTAGAGTTTGAAAAATAGGGTTGGTTCACCTCCAAAATATATTTCAAACATGATCAAAATTCACACATAACTTCTACAAAAAAATTTAAAAATAAAGCACTTCTTTTGTCTCGAGAAACATTTCTTGTTTTAACTTTTGGAAGAGAAAATTGTAGAAGTTTGACCAATGTAAAATGTCGACAATCGAAACAAGTAGAGTTTGAAAAATACCAAAATGGGTAGGACGTAGAAAATTGTTGAAGTGGTAGGATCGGTAAGATTTAAGAAAAATAAAGACAATTATGTTCATTTAGCCCAAAGTGAAATGTTTCATTGGATAATTAAGATGTGAAAATTGAGGAGTTTAACGAGACGAAAGAAGTATAATAAATTAAAATAAGAAAGCTTCCTAGATAATGCTCCCTAGTATAAAAATATGAAAATATCAAAATAAAAGTCATAAGTCTTTTAAGACTAAAATAAAAGTTCAGACTCCTACTGTTAAACTGTCACAGTCAGTACATTGTCACATTGCAACTACCACACTACCACGGTCACACAATCTTCCGTCACTATCGGCTGCTAGAATATCGTCACGAATAGTGGTAGTTGATTGATCACACTACCATAATACACCGTTATCACCTTTCTATCACTCTCAACACGTACTTTTACATCACACTACTATTATACTCATATTTTTTTTCTTAAAAAATTTAAGGCTTTTATTTTGATATTTTTATACTTTTTTACTCCGAGAGAATTTTTAGGAGAAAATGAGAAAAAATTACTGCTGGGTACCCTAGATTTTGTGATAAGAACTGCCAGGTCCCATTATTTTTTAAAATATACTCCGGGGTACCTTAAAATAACAACAAACTTACTCCGAGGTGACATTCCGTCACTTTCTCCGTTAAACTCCATTCTCCGTTAACTTCTTCTTCTTCTTCTCCATTTTCGATTTCTTCTTCTTCTTCCTTTTCTTCTTCTTCTTCTTCTCCTCCTCCTCCACCTTTTCCGGTCCTCCCTCCTCCGCCTACAGATCTTCTTCTTCTTCTTCCCATCCTCCCATTTTTTCTTCCTTTCTTCTTTTTGAACTCTTTTTTCTTCTTACCTATTATTATTATTATTATTATAAAAAAAATTAATTAGAAGTTTTACCATTTTTATTCTTTTTACTTCATATTTATTATAAATTAGCAAAATTTCTTTTAATAAATAATACAATTAATAATTATAAGCGTTTTTTATAATAAGTTATATTTTTCTAAATAACAATCAATGTTATTTTTCTTAAAAAGAGTAGTAAAACTAATAATTATTTTTAATAATATTATTAACAATTATGAACAAAAATAATACGGAGTAATTAATAATAATTATAGAATAAGATTAAAATAATAATAAATATGAAGTTATAGTAATAAGTGCTACTCCACTATTTTTCTTAAAAATTAGAGTGGTAAAAATACTAATTAATTTTAAGAATAAGAATAATAATAATAATAATAATAGGTAAGAAGAAAATAGAGTTCAAAAAGAAGAAATGAAGAAAAAATGGGAGGATGGGAAGAAGAAGAAGAAGATTTGTAGGCGGAGGAGGGAGGACTGGAAAAGGTGGAGGAGGAGGAGAAGAAGAAGAAGAAAAGGAAGAAGAAGAAGAAATCGAAAATGGAGAAGAAGAAGAAGTTAACGGAGAATGGAGTTTAACGGAGAAAGTGACGGAATGTCACTTCGGAGTAAGTTTTTTGTTATTTTAAGGTATCTCGAAGTACATTTTAAAAAATAATGGGACCTGGCAGTTCTTATCACAAAATCTAGGGTACCCAGTGTAATTTTTTCAAAAAATGAGGCCTCATCCCTAAGAGAAATCAATTACTCGTAATAAAAAAACTGAAAGATTAATCAATTAACACGTGCTGGCATCAATTTTTATTCAACCAAATAGAACTGCCAAATCGGATCGAGTTTTCTTCCATTCATCCGTATGTTTTCTATCATTCATCGCCTGTAGATTCATCCAAATATCTTGTGAGTATAATTTTCCAGGCATGGCGTCGTTTGATGAGAGCTACGGGACGACGGAAGGCGATGGGGTCCACCTTCCCTCACACCCCTTCGACGACGACGACGCATACATTGGCTACGATCCTCGAAATCCGTCGCAACAGTACGAATTCGACGGTCCCTCAAATGACGGCGGCGTCCCTCCTCCGCCACCACCTCCTTCGCACGATTACTTCGGCGGCGGCGCTAGCAATGACGGCGGCGTGCAGTCGCCTGAGGCTTATGGGTTTGCATCCTCCGTAGATCAGGATTATACGCGTTCGCCGTTTGAAGGCTCGCGGCCGCAGGATTCTCCCAGGTCCGATGTCCAATCGAAGCCGCGCGATTCGGAGGGGCTCTTCAGCTCTGGCGGTAGCGGCGGCGGCGGGCCTCTGCTTCCGGAGCCTAGCCAGATGGTGGAGGAAGGTGCCGCGTTTCGCGAGTGGCGCCGGTGAGTTATTCTGAAAATTGTTTAATTAGGGATTAATATAAATAAGTACTCATAATTGCAACTTGCAAGATTTGAGCTATTGAATCTGAATAATTGGAGGAAATTCAGTCTTTATAATCTTATAAATTCCTCCAATTAAATAATCCAGCATTTTCAATCCTTCATTCAATTCATTTCTTAAACTGCAGCTGAGATGAATGATCTACATTACATTAAATCTTGAATCTTGGGGAAAATGCTTTGATTTTTAAAGCTCTAGTTCCAATAAATTCCCAAGATCCCAACTAAGTTATTATTCCCCAAAATGATCTCCCAATGCTTAATGTTTTTTTATGACAATGTAAATGATTCTGAATATGTAATGAGAAAGAAATTGTTTTGTTTGACCAATGGAATCTAGCATGTTATTGATCATAGTTTTGCTTCTTTTCTTGTTCATTTCTAATGTGGCTGTGCAGTCAAAATGCTATATATCTTGAGGAGAAAGAAAACAAGGAGAAGGAAATGCGAAATCAGATTATCCAAGAAGCCAATGAGTATATCCGAGCATTTTATGAAAAAAGGACCCAAAATTGTGAGACCAACAAGGCTCAAAATCGAGAAAGAGAGAAGGTACATACAAATTCGGTAAACCAATGTATAGATTTTTAAAATATATATAAGTATGATTTGTTTTTTCCATCATCTTCGATGAAGCCAAAGATTCACTATTTTTGGCTTTTGGGTGTTTTGAATTAAAACAAAATGGCTATTTACCATAGGGAAACAACCGCTCTTTGTTTCATCATGGCTATTTTTGGATATTTTCCATCATGGGTTATCGAGAAACAATTGTTCTTTGTTTTGAACATAGGGCTCAATATGATTTGTGAGAGTTTTACCATATCGAAATAAAAAAGATGTACATTGATCAAACAAGACCATTATTTGGGACTGAGGTAGTAGTATATCTTATATGATTGAATTTTTCGGAGTATCAAAACAATCTCTTGTTTTTTGTGAAGTTGTACCTGGCCAACCAAGAGAAGTTCCACAAAGAAGCGGATAAACACTACTGGAAGGCAATTGCGGAGCTAGTACCTCGCGAGGTTGCCAATATTGAGAAAAGGGGAAGAAAGAAGGAAGAGGAAAGGAAACCCGGAATCACAGTCATTCAAGGTCCAAAACCAGGGAAACCAGCGGACCTATCAAGAATGCGTCAAGTTCTTCAGAAGCTGAAGGTGAAGCCCCCTCCACATATGATGCCTCCCCCTCCCACAAAGGATGGTGGCAAGGAAACAAAGGACGCAAAAGGTGAGGAGGGTAAGGAAGCGAAGGGAGGTACCAATGAGGCAAAAGACATGAAAAAGGACGAGAAGAAGGATTCGACACCAAAGACAGGTAAAGATGTTACACATGGAGACGAGCTGGTTTTGTCTAGTAAGGATGATGGAACTGGTGCAATAACTGAATCCCCTAAACCCGATATACCACCTGGTTCAGGTGAAGGTGAAAAGGAAATGGTCACTGATTCTTCAGCCTCTTCTGCATAGGCAGGCAGAGTGTTATATTTTTGTTTTTTTTTTTTTAAAAAAATACCTTTTTTAGACACTCAACTATTATCTTCTCTTTGAAGCATTTCATTCATTCTTTGTTCCTAGCATTACAAGTAGCTAGGTTGAGAAATAAGATCTTTGCATTTGCTTTTTCAGTTTGTAAGAGACTAACAATTTGTTTGAATGGAGAGGGATAATGTTAGGGAGGCATAGCATAGAAGATAGGGCACTCACTCAAGGTGTAAGTAGCATGGCCCTTGCTACTAGAGTTGGATATGGGCTCGGTTACCTGGCCCGAACGGGCAATCATTTTTTAAGCGGATTTGGATAAAAATTTAATCCCAAAAGTTTGGGTCTTGAACGAAAAGACCCAAATGTACTGCCCGGCAAGACCAGACATGCCCAAGCCCAATTGTTGTTCACCTCTACTTGCTGAAAAGTTTATTGTCTTTGTTTATATTTCTCAACTGCACCTCTTCCTTTTTTTCAGTTTTTAATTTTTACAATTTTATAATTTTTTTTTCAGTTTTTAAGATTTTTCCTTTTTTCATTTTTATTTTTAGTTTTTAAAACTTACTATTTAATTTTATTTTATGTTTTTATTTTGATTATTTAAATTTAATTAAGTTTTACGGAGTAAAAAAGACGAGTAATATTTTTTTAAAAAAATGAAAAAGAAAGGGGAACTACAACCTTGGAAAAGGGGAAGGGGAGGAAATATGGACTATGGAGTAACAGACAAAACTCAAGCTGATATAAACAAGTTCTCCATATATCACACATATTCACACATTACATTCATCTTTATTATTCCAAACTCTCAAATCACCACATTATTTCAACCCATTACAGTCATTACTTATTTCAGCACCACATATTTATATATATTTACATAATTGTACACTCCAGCAGGACAACTGAATTTGATAAACACTCTGCCTATGTATTGTCTCAAGGCTTCTTCTTGACAACAAGAACCTGGCAATTGGCATTGTTGACACAGTAGTTACTGACGCTTCCGAGGATCGCCCTGATTCATAGTGCCGAAACCAGGGAAAAAGAATTAATTAAACTAGACTAACGCACTTCCGGTGCTCTTATAAATAAAATAAAAACAAATGTAACGTGGGTGATCGTCCGTGCAATATGATAAAAAAAACATTACTCCGTTACGAGCTGAGCATAATGTTGTGGAATTTTTGTAACGTTAGGGTTAAAAAGAACCTTTTTAGAGCTCCTCTGCTGTGGCTTCCCAGCACAAGCAATTGGATTTTCATCTTTTCTACTGCTTGACATATGGCGTCTTTCGGATCTCCGGCTTCTATAACTCTCTCGGTAGTTATCTGTCAAAGGGAAATGTCACATATTAAGAGCCATATGCAACCACATATGCTCGGTTTGATACACAGTTTCACTTTCACATTTGTGTGTTTCGGCACACAGTTCCGGCTTATAGTTGAACCAAACAAATCATGAAACTGCTAAATAACCTCTCTAAATGACAGTTCTGTTTGAAAATGTGTAGCTAAATATGGGCATTTTAGTCCATTGGAAAGAAATTGGATTCTCATTTAGGAAGTTGGGGGAAGGGAGCGAGTAATACTCCATCCGTCCCACAAAAAACTTCATTCTATTATTTGTCGGTCCCAAATAAACTTCACTTACCTCATTTGTTTTTAAGAAACGAATATGTGGCTCATAAAATTTCTCTTTTCTTAACAAATTCTAACAACACAATTTTAACTTTTCGTAATTTCAATGAAAGTCAAACAATGAGGCTTCGTTTGGCACACGGAATTTAACTAATGGAATTTGAATTGGGAACACCAATTCCAATTCTGTTGTTTGGTAGCATGGATTTGGAATTGGCAGTGCCAAAAATGAATTGGAATTGGATAACTTAATTCCATCTAAATCAACTCCATACAATTTCTAACTCCCAATTCAATTCCAATCCCGTCAATTCCCTGTACCAAACCGTTGAGGGAGATAGTAAATCAAAATGCATAAAGAGAAATTACCCCATGCTTTTTGCAGATATCATCAGCTTTCTCCAAAAGAACAGTGGCAACTTTCTTCTGATTATCTTGAATAGACTTTAGCAGCTCAGGAGCTGCAATGGAGAAGATAACAGTGAGATCCTCGAAGGGTACGTCGAGATCAGGAAACAAGACAATCGAAAGGAAAGGAAGACGAAGGGAAGGGAAACAGAGCTCACGAGTAAACCCTAGAGAAGAGGCGTAGATGTAGCCATAGTCGACCATGGGCAGGACGGTGAATAGCACAAGTTGCGAGTTCAGTAGCGAATCGTGAAAGTTCTCGAGAGTCCATTCGAGCGCATAGCGGCTGAACTCGCTCTCGTCAATCGCTATCATCACCTTCCTCTTCATCATCTTCTTCCCTTCTTCCTCCATTGGCGATCTCCAGGTTGGCGGACCTAATGGATTTTCTCCTCCTTTTATTGCTGCGTGTTTCTGGAAGAATGTAGTAGTAGAGGTGTTAGTTTTCCTGCCTCTGTTTCTGGATGAATCTGTGAGCCCAGACTGATGTGGATTGGGATGTGTGACATGACCGCTGATTCCGTTTGGATCGGGTCAAATATAGCATTTGGATAAATTTACTTCTACACTAATGATTGTTTTTAAAATCTATCCCAAAGATTTACATTTATAATTTGAGTAATGCTTACATCTTTGATTAATGCTTACATGATCTCGAAGTTCATGTTTAAAATATAAATCTTCTTATATTTTTCATAAGTTTGTAGATGGATATTCTCTTTTTTTGGAAGGTCCACTTTTTTTATGCGATAAGTACACTAAGGTCTTGATGGTGTAAATATAGCTGGGTGGGTTAACCGGGTTTGACCTGTACACACTCGACCCGTAATATAAAACACACAACAAGAACACAAAGTATGACCTAGACCGGGTAAATCTCCTCAGTCCGAATTATATTTCTTACTCTGTCTCAAGAGTGTACTCTTTTAGTGAGATAAAGAATGGATCCCCTCCTATATCCAATATCATCATATTTATAGAGGAGGATTTGTGACCTTCCCTTGTTCATCCATGGACAAAATATGAAACCCGGAGGAAGGTCACTGTACATAATCTAATCAATGTTCAATCGTAGACTTGCTACTAATACAACCTAGAAGCACTGTTCAATCAATGACTATAGCATGGATATTCTCAATCCAATCAACCCTGCAAAATGACAAACATTGCTTGCCTCGTGATGGATGAATGGCGGGGTGGTCCCTCGATCTTTGACGTGGTTCACCATGCCTGAGAGACTGGACCAATGTTTGCCAAGTAAGATGATATGACCGGTCACCTTTTCTCAAAGGTTAACCGGTCATTTCTTGAGCTCAACCCGTCTCTTTGGTCTTCCGGAATATCCTTCGTAACATTAGGTGACATTTTGGCTATCGCCCAAAATGTGACCGGTCACTTTTTTAAGGAAAGTGACCGGTCAACTTTTGACCCGTCTCAATCGAAGAGTTAACCTCATTTGGTGATTGATGAAAGTGACCGGTCATATTTTGACCTGTCCTTTTCGATTGTCCGGGCCGGGTATAGGGATATACCCATCAAGAAGTCTTCCACTTACCGGCCTTGTGAGAAAATCATCATGGGCAGGATGTATATTTATGTTGACCTATCACTTTTGAAATCATCAAGTCATTCTCATGACATATCCTTCTTTGACATCATCAAGTTATTCCCATGACCTGTCCTTCTTTAAAATCATCAAGTCATTCCCATGACATGTTCTTCTTTGAAATCATCAAGTCATTCCCATGACCTGACCTTCTTTGAAATCATCAACTCTTTCCCATGACCTGTCCTTCTTTGAAATCATCAAGTCATTCCCATGACCTGTCCTTTTTTTGAAATCATCAAGTCATTCTCATGACCTGTCCTTCTTTGAAATCATCAAGTCATTCCCATGATCTGTCCTTCTTTGAAATCATCAAGTCATTCCCATGACATGTCCTTCTTTGAAATCATCAAGTCATTCACATGACCTGTCCTTTGAAATCATTAAGTCTTTTCCATGACATGTCCTTCTTTGAAATCATCAATTCATTCTCATGACATGTCCTTCTTTGAAATCATCAAGTCTTTCCCTTGACATGTCCTTCTTTGAAATCATCAAGCCTTTTCCTTGACCTGGAACTTTGGAGTTTCTCAGACCTGGCACTTTGCGGATCATCACACGTATCACTTTGGAGTTCATCAGACTTGGCGCTTTGGTGATTATCAGACCTTTCACTTTGGAGTTCATCAGACCTGGCACTTTGGAGTTCATCAGACCTGGCGCTTTTGTGGTTCATGGGACTTGGCACTTTGGAGATCATCAAACCTGGCACTTTGGAGTTCATCAAACCAGGCGCTTTGGGGTTCATCAGACCTGGCACTTTGGTAATCATCAAGTCTTCCTCTCAGACCTGTCACTTTTGAAATTATCAAGCCTTCCTCTCGGACCTGTCACTTTTGTAATCATCAAGTCTTCCTTTCGGACCTGTCACGTTTGAAATCACCAAGTCTTCCTCTCGGACCTGTCTCTTTTGAAATCATCAAGCCTTCTTCTCTTTTGAAATCATCAAGCCGTCTCAATCGAAGAGTTAACCTCATTTGGTGATTGATGAAAGTGACCTGTCATATTTTGACCTGTCCCTTTCGATTGTCTAGACCGGGTATAGGGATATACCCATCAGGTCCATAAATTGAACATGAACCTTAAGCACACGAAAGAATGTCTTATATGCTCTGTATAGTTTTGTATCAAAGCAAGTGTGAGATTGAAGACCTAAATTAACACAAAATATAAGTGTAAAACTTTACAATCACACTGATATTTTATTTCAATATAAACCATCAAAATATATATTTAAACCTTTGGGGTATATTTTGGTTACAATCTTAGAGGTAAATTTCAGATCAGGTGAAGAGAACATGGTGTGAGTATGGTTCACAAAATTTTTTCTTTTTGAAGCGGCTTTGTCATAAATGTCATAATAATGTTCCAAGTTTCTTAAAGAGTATCTCTATGTCCCTTTTTTACTCTTCATTGTCTTCAATGTAATATTTTAGTCATATTTTACAAATTTGGACTATAAATTATGAAAACATATATATTTAATTATGATATAAATTTAATATAATTAAATTGATTTTAAAATTTAGTTTTGAAATATCAAACTTTTCTCACAACTACTAATATACTTATGTTTATAAATGAAAAGATAAGAGATAAATTCAAATAGCTAGTGTTATGTTCCATTTGAATACAATTTGGTAAAAAATTGAGTAAGATTGGGTGAAATTAAGTGAATTTTATTCAATTGAGTGCAAAATTTATAAATTATTGAGTGTATTTTGTTGAAAATAGATTAAATAAAATTTAATAGAGTCAAATATAATTAATTTTACAATTAAATGTAATGGTGAAGATCAAATTTGAAAATGATAACACTAAATGTTATCGCTGGAGAGTCTTTTCAAAATGCTAACACTAGCATCTAATTTTATTGACTAATATTGAGTGAATTGGTTTGAAACTAATCAAATTAACTCTCAAATCAATAAAATTTATTATAATGGGATGAAATCAGGATTAAATCTAGTTATTCCATACAATTCATCATATAATTCTTTCATCTCAAAAGGAATATCACACTTCACTATTTAATAATTATGAAAATTTTATTTGTCTGTGCATTATCATTTATATGTATAACTTATCTTTAATTTCTACATATAATAAATTTAAGACAAGAAATTTTTTACTTTTTCAAGAAGATAATCCATTTTATGAGGGAATGAGCAAGTAATGTAATTAATTCAAATGGTAAAATAAAAGTAAAAATTTAAAAATATAATATGCTTATTGAAAGGAAAACATAGTTCCAAATTTATCGATGTAGGTTCTAACCGATTTTGGATATAATCGGTTTCGCATCTAATCAGTTTCGGGTATTATTGGTTCGGATCAAATCGGTTTCAGGTTTAATCGGTTCGGATATTATCGGTTTCGGATCTAATCGGTTTCAGGTTTAAATCGGATATGAATTATTTAGTTCGGTTTCGGTTCGATTTGGATCATTTCGGATTTTCGTTTATAGATCGGATCTTCAATTTTTGGGTCATTTCGGTTTCGGTTTCAGATATTTCAGTTCGGGTAATCGGTTCCGGTTCTGTTTTGCTAGGTCTAGGTATTATAATGTTTGGACAAAGTTATTTTTAATTTGATTTATATAAAGATTGGTGTAAAATTAATAAATTAAACTTATATAGAGCATTATTTTAAAACTAATTCAAAAATGTTATAAAAAATGTTGACAAGGCTATTTTATTTTATGATATTATCAACGAATATAGGAAAGGAAATTGAATATGTTGACCATGTAAATAGTGAAGTTGAAATGTCACCTGAGAGATTAGGAGTGAGAGAAAATCTAGAGAATGAAAGTATGAATTAATGAAATCTGAGATCAACCCCCTTTCTACATGCCAGAGAAGGGTATTTTCTAAGCGATGGGGTAATTATGCTTTCCAAGCATCTACTTTGACACGGACGCCTCATGTTCACGTAACTAACTTATAGTACAAACTATCTAGCATTTTCTGAACCGGCCCAAATATCTAACACACCGTACTCTAACTCTCTGCCAGTCGAGGTTCCTCTTAGCCAATTGTCATACGCTAATTGGGCCCTCGTTCTCAATCTTCAACGTTTCTTCCTACAGTCGAATAAAAACATAATATATTTTTTTTGAGACCTATTGATTTTATTATAATGCAATATCATATTCATATTTTCTCAACCTAAACAAAGCAAAGATTATTATCATAAAAATAAAATATTTCTTGCATAATTAAATTAGTGGCCAGATGTGTAAAGAATGTGGTAAAAATTTCACTTTATAAATAATAAACAAAAAATTTAAATTAGGACAAAAGGAGTAACTTCCAAAAAAAATTGTGTCAACTAAAAGTGAAAAATACTCTATGTAAAATTCCTTAAAAAATCACACTGAAAATAAACTACTCTTTAGAAAAAAGAAAATGTAATGAATAAATAACGATTATAAACAAAAAAAAATTAACCAACCAAATGGAACAAACGGTGTTTTCGATCAGTTTTGAGGTTAATAGGTTAATCAATTAACCTAACATTTTGTAACAAAAATCACTCTCATTATTTCTCTAAAATGTCAAAAAATAAATAGTAACTCCATCCAAACTACATTCATGATGGAACACGTAATTGAGAAAGCTCATATAATCCTCTTGGATCCACTTTGAGTCATTGTTTCATTTGTTTGGCATTAGCCTTAACCAAACTTCTCTCATTTTGGTTAAGACTCCTCACTCATTTTCGAAAAATACATAGCTAACTCAAACAACATCATATTTTGTTCAAGAAATTTGAAAGTGAAAAGAAAAGAAAATGATCTTTAGTACAAAAATAATTTTTTTCTTTGATTAGTGGAAAAGTGAAAGGAAAAAAAATAAGAGAAAATAATTTTTTTAAAAAAACACCAACTTTCTTTCGTGAGGAAAAGGAA